AGGGCTCTGCCCCCATGAATGGATTAATGCCATTATCATTGGAATAGTTAGTTATCAATGGGAATGGGTTCCTGGTAAAAGGATGAGTTCAGTCCCCTTCCCTCTCTCTCACCCATGTGATACCTTCCACCACATGATGACATAGCAAGAAGGCCCTCACAAGATACCAGCACCTTGAACTTGGACTTCCCAGCCACCCTCCAGAACTGTGAGGAAATAAATTTCTTTTCTTTATAAATTAGCCAGTCTCAGGTACTCTGTTATAGCAGCTCAAAACAGACAAAAGCCTATATCATTTTCATCAGGAAAAGAACTTTCTTACACCTCAGAAAAGAACCTTCTTATACCTCCAGATGTAAACATAACACTTAAGTGTGATACAACTTGTGGTCCTAATGTTAACATACAATGGTTGTCCTCAGAGAAGCCCTTCTCCTGGGAGGGGCATGTGGCATGGTGGTTGAGGGTGCAGGCTGGGCCTGAACTTGAATCCCAGCTCTACTACTGACCAGCAATGTGACCTTGAGCAGGTCCTTGGATGTCTCTACAGACTGGGGGGACCAACAGCATCCACTTCATAAACTGGCAGCAAGGATTTGAGGCCATGGGAGTTGGATGCCTAGGTCAGCACACTGCCCATGGTAAAAATATGCCCTCACGAAGCATAGGCTATGGTCAGGAGGCCTCTGGGAACTCAACTGCTGAAGGTGAGCACAGGCTGACCCAAAAGAAGTGAGCCTCACAGCCCAGGCAAAGGTTGGAAGTGAACTTTGTCTGAAGGTCCAGGGAAGGTAGACACCAGGTCAGGTGACAAGCAAGCTATACTTTCTGGGAAAGTTGCGTTTGAGTATTCAAGTTCTCTTTTAAACTTCTGGATCAAAGATAGTAAGAACCAATGGATAGGATTTCACACCCATTTTGTTTCGCAGGGACCAGGTACTAACACTGTACCCTCTTCCTGAAGGTGCTTTTCAAGATACTCCGTGCTGTCAACTTCAAGCAGAATAACCCACAGAAGCCTGTGGTGCCCAGAGCTCTTAAAATATGTTACTCTTGGCTTTCCTAGGAAAAATTAAGTCTGTCCAAAGATCAAACAATAGAACAGTGAGGTGATAAATAACCTTTGCCTCTCCATTTTTCCAGTACCACCCTTGTGCCTGACATTTTCCCCCCTTCTCTAGTTTCAAAACGCACTCTTGTGAACACACCCTGTATTTATCACTTGTCTCCATACATTTTTAGTTAATGTTTCACGAGAGTATCTATTAGTGGATTTTTCATGTTTCCAAGTGCAAGTTTACCCTCACGCTTTTAAGTCTATGGGTAAAGAGAAAAATAAGAGACAAGAGATGTGACTGGTAGAAGTGAACAAGTAAAAACTTAAGAAGCCCCACAGGCTGTTTTTCAGGTTCGAGTTTTGCTAGCATTGGCTGCAAGTATAAATTCTGACAATAGGCAGCATTGGGCCCTTTTTTTTTTTTTTTTTAAGACAAAGTTTCACTCTTGTTGCCCATGCTGGAGTGCAATGGCACGATCTCGGCTCAACGCAACCTCCACCTCCAGGGTTCAAGCAATTCTCCTGCCTCAGCCTCCCGAGTAACTGGGATTACAAGCCTGCACCACCATGCCTGGCTAATTTTTGTATTTTTAGTAGAGATGAGGTTTCTCCATGTTGGTCAGGCTGGTCTCAAACTCCTGACCTCAGGTGATCTGCCCACCTCGGCATCCCAAAGTGCTGAGATTACAGGCATGAGCCACCGTGCCCGGCCACACTGGGCCAATTCTAATCAGAAGTTGTCCCTTGAAATAAGAGATTTGTAGCCTAAAAGACTATTAACCAATACTGCTCCAAAAGTTTTTCTTAGAGATAATTTACATATATACATACACACATGTCATATGTAATATATGGGTGTGTTATATAGAACATGTTATCTTTCATCAAATGTATCGTTACTAAGATGACATATAGTTATTAAAATCATTTCTTCAATACAGATGCAGTGGCTCACGCCTATAATCCCAGCACTTTGGGAGACTGAGGCGGGCAGATCATTTGAGCCCAGGAGTTGGAGACCATCCTGGGCAACACGGCAAAACCCATGTTGTATTTCTCTACAAGAAATACAAAAAAAAAAAAAAATTATCTGGGCGTGGTGGTGCATGCCTGTAGTCCCAGCTACTTGGAAGGCTGACGTAGGAGGATCACCTGAGCCCGGGGAGGTTGAGGCTGCAGTGAGCTGTGTTTGCACCACTGCACTCCAACCTGAGTGACACAGTGAAGCGGCCTCAAAAAAACAAACAAAAAAACCAGATGCAAGAAATGTAATAATTGCCCCATTTGATTTTAGCTCACAAGTGGTAATTTGAGAGAAAAGATGATTTAAGATGCTATTCAACAACTGGGGAGATTTGACACGGGCTACGATAATGGCATTGTGGTTACATAGGAGAATGTCTTCGTCCTTAGGAGACAGATGCTGAGGTGTTTAGGGGGGAAGCATCTGGATGTTTGTAATTCATTCTCAAATGACTCAGGGGCGGAGGAAAGTGTCTGTCCAGAGAAAGAGAAAGCAAATGTGGAGATGTTAGCAATTAGTGAATCTAGTTGAATGGCAGACTGGCGTTCATTGCACTATTCTTGCCACTTTTCTGTAGATTTGAAATATTTTTTAAAAGATGTTAAAAAAAAGATAGTTCTTGTTATGATTAAGCACAAAAGCCTACTTCCTCCCAGGAAAACAGAACATATGTGTAAAAACACTGGCAATTTTCTAAAATCTTGATTAAAATGCATTGCCAAAATCAGAATATTTTTGTGTAAAATCTTATAACTAAAAATAAAACTCCTGTCTTTACTCCAACCAGTGAGTTAATACATATTCTATATTGGTACATAGCAGAGTCAAAGAATCCGTAATAAAAACAAGAAGAATATATACAAGACAGCAAAGACGCATGGAATGATAAATGCTCAAGATTGGCGGGAAGCTTTTAAGGAATTCTATTAGATTTCCCATTTGTTCTCCAATGTAAATAAGGCCCTAGAATTTTAGAGCTGAGAAACATCAGGGAGCAATACAGTCCCAATAGTTCAGTCCTCAGTTTGTAGGTGATATAAGGCAGAGTCAGAGAAAATTATTTAAGTGTGGAAGTGTACAAGTGTTTCAAAGCTGTAAAGTGCTCTTAAAATCCACCTGGAACCCCTTCCTGTGAGTTACAATCAGCATTAGATCAATGTCCCTTGGAAATGTCCTACTTATTTCATGGAACTCTTTCCAGTAGAAATCAATTTCCTTGGCAATTTTAAATCACGGCAGTTCCAAAAAGTTTGAAGTATTTCCAATTGAACAAGAGTAAGTCAAGTGTTCTCACAAGTTTTTCGAATGGTAACAAAATATATTTGGTAAGGAAAAGGATAATGAGAAATAAAAAGCAGACATGGGACCAACAAATAATAAAAGAACTGAAAAAATGACCATGTTACTCAATATTTTGATTTGCAAAATAAAACCACAAAGTACTGAGTATCTTCTTTCCACTTCTTAAACCTGCTTCTGAAGCAATACTTCCATTCATTCAGTCATGTATTCAAATATTTAAACTGCTAATATGTAAAGACATCAGAAGGACTTCAACGGCCATACTGTAACTTTTTAAACTATGTAATATTGTCCTTCTATGACAGCATTTTTTCTTTTTTACAGACAGGATCTCACTCTGTCACTCAGGCTGGAGTGCAGTGGCACAATCATGGCTCACTCTTGCCTCAACCTCCCAGGCTCAAGGAATCCTCTCACCTCAGCCTCTACAGTAGCTGGGACTACAGGCATGTACCACCACACCTGGCTGATTTTTTAAATTTTTCAGTAGAGATGAGGTCTTGCTATGTTGACCAGGCTGGTATCAAACTCCTCACCTCAAGCCATCCTCCTGCCTCAGCCTCCCAAAGTGCTGGGATTACAGGCATGAGCTACTGAACAGGGCAGCAATTTTTTTTTTTGGATATGAAGAAAGTTATTTTTTAAAGTCTAAATATGCAACTAAATTGAAAATAATCCTCTATATCTAAGCTTTATGAAATGTGAACTGTGAGCAAATATCATAATTATACATTGGAGGGAAAACATAATCTCGGGGGAAAAAAATTCAAGCTGACACTTAGGACTCTGAACCATGAAGCAACCGTTGAGATGGACCTTTATTGGATCTTGCCCTTAATTATGGATGGAGTTCATGCAGTCTTAAGCCTGGGTGTCAAAAACCATTAATAATTACCCTTAAATGGCCAACAAAAGGATATTTTCATAATCAGGGTGGTGTGCCTGTAAAGACTATATAAGTCTCACGATTCTGCTCAGCTTTTCAAACTCCTCTTTGATTCTTCTAGCTGTTTCACTATTGGGCGACCAGGTTAGTGTGATTTTGGTACTACCTAGAGCTCCTTCTGTTTGCATTAATACTCTGCTTCCTTTCAGAATTGTGTGAAAGATAATGGTCTGGGGAGAAGGTGAGTTTATGCCATCTGAAGATATTCCCTGTAATTTAGAAGCTAGAAGCTGTGGTCAAGTATTCTTGAAGACCACAGCCTGCAGAGTACAGATCAGGTACATAAAAAGTGAAGAATGCCATTAATTGCTAATGAAAATCTTTGGCTCCAGGGACCATCCCCCCATCTCCTAACAGATATACTCTAAGAACAGACATTCAACATACTATTTAAGATGTTTTTTTTTGTTGTTGTTGTTGTTTTTTTTTTGCGACGGAGGCTCGCTCTGTCGCCCAGGCTGGAGTGCACTGGCATCGCACTCACTGCAACCTCTGCCTCCCGGGTTCAAGCGATTCTCCTGCCTCAGTCTTCCAAGTAGTTGGGACTACAGGCACGTGCCACCACACCCGGCTAATTTTGGTATAGAGACAGGGTCTCACCATGTTGGCCAGGCTTCCACGGTCTCGAACTCCTGACCTCAAGCGATCCACCCTCCTCGGCCTCCCAAAGTGCTGGGATTACAGGCATGAGCTACCATACCCGGCCTAAGATGCTTATTTTTAAAACATGTTGGCAGTTACTGATGTCATTCCCACCCCAACGTCCTCTTTTCCTTATTCTTCCCCATTTATGCCAAGGAAATGGCCCAATGGCACTAAAATCCTGCTGACAACCCTCAGCACAAAACTCTGCTTCAGCTTTTTGGTAAGTTTTATTTTCTTCCCAATTTATAGGGCACCAGAATGAGTACTAAAAGGTCTCCTGAGGAACTGAAGAGGATTTTTGAAAAATATGCAGCCAAAGAAGGTGATCCAGACCAGTTGTCAAAGGATGAACTGAAGCTATTAATTCAGGCTGAATTCCCCAGTTTACTCAAAGTAAGTGGCCATCCGCAGAGCCCGCTTAATGGGACTGATGGTGGGAGGGGAGGGAGGGGAAAGGACTCTGGTAAAGCTTTATAGGGACCATCGCTTGAGGGAGGACACGTGCAGGTGGGCTTTCTTCCCCTTAAGTCAGGCCACATTTCAGAAGGCAAGCTCTCAGAAAACAAGGGCCAAGCCTTCTATCCCTCCCGCAGCCTCAGCACAGGACTCTGCAGGACTAGCCATGGTAAACGGAAGCAATGCCAAATTATGCCTGGAAGACCCACAAGTCACCAAGCAAACCCACTAAGGCCTTCAGCAAGGATTCAGTAATTCTGTGCCAGGCTTTAGGAAAACAAAGAGGATTGCAAAAATAGTGTTAGCTGGCCTTGGATGGGCTTCATTTTTATATGTAAAACCCCTCAACAAGACCAACATTTACTTAGCAGTCTGTTAGGAAAACCCACTGACAAATTGCCTTGTCAGCACTCATTTATATTTCAAAAGCATTTAAATTTGTGTTCATCACTTAAATTTGTGTTAATGAGGCAACCATGCATTTCTAAACAACTTTCAAGAAAGGACTAAATTTCCTGGGCCATAAAGTTTCACATCAAAATCGCCCCAGAGTTGTCAAAATCAAAATGTATTCAAGGCAACAGAGTGGAGAGAAGAGCTGATCCTCCTCTCTCCAATATACAGTACTTTCCTTTTGCTAAAGAAAAAACTGACTGAGTACATTTGCTAAAGATGGTAAGGCAACTCACTCCAGGAGGGCCATGGCGATCCATACTGAAATAGGTTCTTGCCATGGGGAGAGAGATTGGGCTCAACTCCTAAATGGACAAGTGGGGGTTTATGATCATGGAACAGGATGGGGGGCCAATGGATGGAAAATTACCAGGGAAATACCCAGGATAAGGAGTTTCTGGTGAAATTGCCTTGATAGGATTCTAGCTGAAGGCAGGCCAGGTGATCAGATATTAAGGGTGGTCAGATACAAGGACAGAGAGGGAAGCCCAAGGTCGGGTCTAGTCAAGCAGGGGACTCAAAGGAGAGAGTCATTGTCATTTTGCAATTAAAAGCCATCTTCACAACAGAAATGATATGCAATTGTTTTTATGACTCAGTCACTATTTAGCTCTAACTTCAGGAGAGAACATTTCTTCAAATATTTTAACCAGCTCTCCAGATTTTAACCAGAAATGTCCCTTCTGCCAATATGACAATTGGAAAGACTTCTGTTTTTAATACTAAAAAGAAAAAAAGCTGAATTCAATGACCCTATAATCTGATATTTTCTCATTTTCTTATAGCTGAAATATAGAAGAACTTGTAAAAACAGTTAAAATCACTAGCAGAAAAATGGACTTTTTAATTAAAAAGCAAAACAAGTTAGTGAGACATTTTAAATTTTTTAAAAACCCTTTATTTTTTTCTAAAAGGAAGAAAAATAATCATCTAACAGGAAAGCCTAGGCCATGTACTCAAACAAGTTAACTCAAAAGGTAATATAAGTAACTTTTTCTATACTTTATGTCCTTCCTACAAAAAGTACATAAGACATAATCTGGAACAAGGTAGGAAGACAAATGGTAAGTTCTGAAAGTGTACTTACATGTACCTGATTATATTTCCATAAGGTTTCCATTACTAAGGTTTTCCACCATACTCTGTTTACATATATCATCACCATGTATGGTTTAGAATCTAGTAAAGGCTTCAGGAAAACAGTGTTTCATATTCATAAATCAAAGGCTGAATAAGTAACTTACAGTTTGGTCTTGTAATCAAAGCAAAGTGCTGAGTGTTTTTGTAGGAATCTTAGGGGTTAAAACAGATCTTCCATAGAGATGTGTTGCACCTAATTGTGAATCTACTTAGCACTACTGGGCTGTATGCTTAAAAATGATTAAGAGCATAAATTCAATGTTATGTGTTTTTTACCACAATTTATATATACATATACGTAATATAGTCTAATTTGAAACTGACAAACTGAACTGTTATTTCAATCGGTTTTCTAAGTAGTATTTTGCACAGATAGACTCCTACCTGAAAATCCAAGTAGTAATGGCTTTAAGGTTAGAGTTTTATGGTAGAGACAAAAATTAAGTCCGCTTAAGACAGTGCAGGAAGTTCAGTAGTCAAAAAGCCTGCACACGATCTCACATGACATCTCAAGCAGTGGTTCTCCAAGTGTGGTCCCAGAGCAACAGCATTGGCACCACCTGGGAAGCTGTTGAAACTATAGATTCTCCAGCCTGGACAACATAGCAAGACCTTGTCTCTACTAAAAATTTTCAAAAATTAGCCGGGTGTGATGGTGCATGCCTTTAGTCCCAACTACTTGGGAGGCTGAGGCAGGAGGATCATCTGAGCCCAAGAGGTGGAAGCTGCAGTGAGCTGTGATCATGCCACTGCACTCCAGCCTGGGTGACAGAGCAAGACCTTGTGTACAGATTCTCAGGCCCCACCCCAGGCCTAGTGAGTCAGAAACTCTGGAGGTGGGGCTGGCAATCTGTATTTGCTAAGGCCAGCACGCCTATCGTGTGATTCTGATGCATGCTAAAGCATGGGAAGCATTGAGCCAAAGTCATTTTGCATAACTCAGCATTTGGGAAAAACTGGGCAGTGGTTAGTTAAGGGGTTGAGCTCTGGAGTCAATGTGTGGACCCCAACCCCTCTGCTAACCAGCTGTGGACGCTCAAGCAAGTGACCGGCTATCTCTGAGCCTGTTTCCCCACCTGTAAAGTAGATCTCCCTCATAGCATGGTCGAAAGGATTATAGAAGGAGCCCTCCCAGCCTGCTGCCTCATGTAATATGTCAGCCCTAGCCCTGGAGCAGGAGACAAACCCAGCTCCCAGGAAAACCTTGGGGCAGGGGTCCTCAACTGTTTGTGCACCATGGGCAATCCAGTGAAGCCCAAAGATCCCTTCTCAGAAGAATGTTTTTAGAGGCATAAAGAAAAAGACCCAAGATTACACAAGAAAACAACTGTATTAAAATACACATTGTATTAAAATAATAAATGTGTGATATGGGCGGGGGGGAAGGTAGCCAGTTCTATGACACAGAGCAACATGACAGCTAGAGCTGGTCTCCCTCTGTTAGCTATTAGATGCATGTCACTGGAAACCTGGGCTGCCGCCTTCGCACACAGACCCAAGGCCTCTGATTTCTGAGAATGTGTAGCAGTAACTGATTCATTTTTTCTCCCCTCCCCTGTCCCATTCTTTTTTTTATCTAAAACAGGGTCCAAACACCCTAGATGATCTCTTTCAAGAACTGGACAAGAATGGAGATGGAGAAGTTAGTTTTGAAGAATTCCAAGTATTAGTAAAAAAGATATCCCAGTGAAGGAGAAAACAAAATAGAGCCCTGAGCACTGAAGGAAGAGCGCCTGTGCTGTGGTTTTATCCTATGTGGAATCCCCCAAAGTCTCTGGTTTAATTCTTTGCAATTATAATGATCTGGCTGTGAGGGTCAGTTATTATTAATAAAGAAATTATTAGACATACCTTACTTTGTTAAGTACTGACCCTCATAACATAATAGACTTGAAAGTGACCTTAGTCTGATTCAACTAATTCTATAGATTTAAAAGAGAGAGAGAGAGGGAGGCTGAGGCAGGAAGAACACTTGAACCCCGGAGGTCAAGGTTGCAGTGAGCCATGATCACACCATTGCACTCCAGCCTGGACCACAGAGGGAGACCCCGTCTTAAAAAAAAAAAAGAAAGAAAGAAATGTGAGGGCCAAGATAGCTCTGTGATCCTGCCCAAAACTACAAAGATGGTGTGGGAGACCTGAAAAGAATCCAGAAATGCCAAACCAACTCCCTTGCTCCACTTTTCTTCCAGAATCACCCTGTTGCTTGCTCTCCTTCCTTAACTCCTCAGTGCTCGGGTCATCTCCAATTTGAGATCGTGATCTCACACTATCCACCAGCGAGTGAGAAAAACACTTCACAAACAGACACTTGATATCATGCTATCTCCCAGACCTCACTGTGCTTTCTTAATGAATGACCCTACAGAAGGAACACAGGACCTAGAGGCGGCCCCACTCATCACTGACCGGGTGGCCTCGCGTCTACCAGCCTAACGCTGTGGTTCTGGCATGTGACGTGTAATATAAAAGATCACAGGAAGACCTTGGGCCCTCTCAACTCTTGGCATCCTGTATCCTGACAAAACAGCCAGCCCTCAAGTTCAAGTTCCACTTTTTGTGTCCAGCTGGGGGATGCAGGGGGTGAAGTGACGACAGTGGGGAATATGGAGGCACGAAGCGCAGAGGAGGGAAGGGAACTTTCTGCTACCCCTTACCAGATAAGAGTTCAAATGTTAACTTCAAGTTTGTCCAAGTTACCAATGGCTCAAGCTGACCCCAATAGCCTGCTCACAGCAGTGCCCCAGAAGCTAGATTTTTATTTCTTCTTTATCCTCGCAACTCTCCTCCACAAAACACCCATGAAGTATTAAAGTATCAGTATTGGGTCCCATTGCCTTTGAACGGTCTCTCTCAACCTTTCTTATTTTCTTTTTTTTTTTTTTGAGACAGAGTCTTGCTCTATCGCCCAGGCTGGAGTGCAGTGGTATGATCTTGGCTCACTGCAACTTCCGCTTCCTGGGCTCAAGCAATTCTCCTGCCTCTCAGCCTCCCAAGTAACTGGGATTATAGGCGTGTGCCCCCACACCCAGCTAATTTTTGTACTTTTAGCAGAGACAGGGTTTTACTATGTTGGCCAGGCTGGTCTCAAACTCCTGACCTCAGGTGATCTGCCAGCCTCAGCCTCCCAAAGTGCTAGGATTACAGGTCACACCCAGCCTCTCTCAACCTTTCTTAAGCCATTATCACCCTCCTAAGGAGCCTTGTTAAACACTTGTTTCTAATCGCCACCCTCCAGGAAATTTTAACTCCAGAGATGCCTTGTGCATCTGTTTATGTGCTGTATGCATATCTGTGCTTTAGACATGAAGTTTTTTTTAACCCCACTGCTGCCCTCCCCACCAAAAACCCAATTGTAACCCCCTTGGGAGTGACATGATATGCTTTTGAACAATGTTCTTCAAGCCGTTTATTATTTTTACCTCACTCTCTAGAGCCCAGACTGCCACACTATACACTTCCTGTAGTTGACATCAGAAACATATCGGATCATTTCCGCTATACAGCCCTACCCTCAAACTGAAAATCACTGCCTGCAAAGTACTGCCTTTGACTTATTTTCAGTTTTAGGGATTGTTTGTGTTTTTTTGCTTTTTGTTGTTGTTGTTTTCGGTTTTGTTTTTTGTTTTTTGTTTGTTTCTGTTTTTTTGATAGGGTCTTGCTCAGTAGCCCAGGCTGGAGTGCATTGGCATTTTCAGGGCTCACTGCAGTCTTGACCTCCTGGGCTCAAGGGATCCTCCCACCTCAGTCTCCCAAGTAGCTGGGACTACAGGCATGTGCTACTATGCCTGGCTAATTTTTATTTTTTTACTTTTTGTAGAGACAGGGGTCTCCCTGTGTCGCCCAGGCTGGTCTCAAACTCGTAGGCTCAAGCAATCCACCCACCTTCATCTCCCAAAGTGCTGGGATTACAGGCATGAGCCACCATGCCTGGCCTTTTTTTTTTTTTTTTTTTTTTAATCCAATGAACTTGAATGTGTATGCTGGGTTCTTCTGTCAAGTTGGCTGCTGTCATTTTTCCAGAAGCTGGATGACTCTCTGAAGTGGGCAGAGGAGCACATACCCACACTCCCACCTCATCTACCCATAAAAGGCTGGGCAGGGCCAGGCTTCTCTCTGGGGTGTTTGAGCTCAGAGAGAGAGAAGTCGCGGTTGATGTAAGCACAGGGGTGGTGGGGACAGGGTGACCAAAGTGAATTGCGCACAAGATGAGTAGCTGGTATATAGTGACTTGGAAGGCAAGGTGCTTGAGATTTCCTGGAAGATCTCTGCAAGTGCACAGTAGAAACTATTATCATTGGTTACGTACTTCAAGAGGACTGGGCAGATGGCGGGGGCAGGAATAAGAGAGCTACTACTCACTTGACAAACTCTTGGACATTTTGATTTCTGAGTCATATGGATGTGTGTCCTATCAAAAAGAATAAATGAAGCCGGGCGCGGTGGCTCACGCCTGTAATCCCAGCACTTTGGGAGGCCGAGGCGGGCGGATCACAAGGTCAGGAGATCGAGACCATCCTGGCTAACACGGTGAAACCCCGTCTCTACTGAAAATGCAAAAAATTAGCCGGGCGAGGTGGCGGGCGCCTGTAGTCCCGGCTACCCGGGAGGCTGAGGCAGGAGAATGGCGTGAACCCGGGAGGCGGAGCTTGCAGTGAGCCGAGATCGCACCACTGCACTCCAGCCTGGGCGACTGAGCCAGACTCCGTCTCAAAAAAAAAAAAAAAAAAAAAAGAATAAATGAAAATGTTCAATGGTAAGAGAACACTTTGTAAATCTCTGGCTGTTCTGGCTGCTGCTCTTTGTGATTAGCCTCTCAGCACTCTTATTTGGAACCATCTGAAAAATACAACTATCTAAATTTTGGGAGGAGAGTATACTTGTGGAGATTTGGGAAGAAAGAAAATAAGTATGGAAGTTTCCCCTAATAATAAAATGAAATTCATTGGAAGCCATTTCAAACATTTAGAAAGCTAACTAGAAAAATAGAAAAGTGGCTAGGCGCAGTGGCTCACGCCTGTAATCCCACCACTTTGGGAGGCCAAGGCAGGTGGATCGCTTGAGTCTAATAGTTCAAGACTAGCCTGGGCAACATGACGAAACTCTACAAAAAATACAAAAATTAGCCAGGCATAGTGGCGCACACCTACAATCCCAGTTACTCGGGAGGCTGAGGCAGGAGGATTACCTGAGCCCAGGAGGTGGAGGTTGCAGTGAGCCAAGATTGTGCCATTGCACTCCAGTCCAGTCTGGGTGACAGAGCAAGACTCTATCTCAAAAAAAAAAAAAAAGTGATTTCTAACTCACCAAGAAACAGAGGAGATTTTTATAAACAGTTGAGGGACCATTTAAATACAATTTGTATCATTCTAACTCAACACAAGAGCATTCTCATGGTATTAAAACTCTTAAATATTTCTAATGACTCATTACATTCCACTATACAGATACCCCATAATAGTCTTAACTATTTCCCCATTGTGGGGCATTTAGATTGTTGTCATTTCCGATTCTTCCAAATGTTATGATGAGTAGACTGTTGTCATTGCTAATTCTTCTAAATGTAATGAGTACCTATTCATATTTCTGTCAACATTTCCGATTTCCTTAGGAGAATTTCTGAGAAGTAAATGTCTGAGTCAGAGGGTATGGATGTTTGTATGGTTTGTCAAACAGACCACCTAACTGATTTCCCAAAAGGTTGTATGGATTCATAACTCTACAGGCAGGAAGGAGAATGCCAGCTTCACTCCCCAGAGAGCATTTGCTGGTCTCATTTTAACAACTGTTTTGTTCATGATGGTGCACATTTTTTATCTGTTGCTGGTTGTAATAAGAATCCCTTACTATTTCACCATGAAGTTGACTGTCAGCTATTGCTTTGTGAAAGATACTCTTCTTCTTCTTCAAGAAGCACTGGTCTCTTCCTAGTTCATTGTGAGACTACGGGCACCAGGTTTTGATATTGAGCATGTATGACGCTACACGGTTTCTCTCTTTTGTTCAATCAATATAATGTGTTAATTTAATTCCAGGATAAACATACTACCCAGTCATGATCATTCTTTAATGCTGTTAAATTGGATGTTCTAATATTTTATTTGAGATTTTTCACATCTTCATTCCTAACCAACGTTAGTCTATGGTTTGGGTTTTTATTATTTGCGGTGTGTGTTTTGTTCGGTTCTAATACCTAGCTCATGCTAGCTTCTCATTTTAGCCTAGGTTCGTTCTAGGTATCAATTAGCCCCTCGCAGAGTTAATATACATTATCTATTTCAATTCCAACATATATAAAGTACCTATTATGGGCAAGGCACTATACGAGATGCCATGAGAGATACAAATTTCCAGACCTCTGAGATTCTAAGTCAGTAAGTCTGGGACCAGGTCAGGGGAAGGATTCCTCAGAAAAGTAGCATTTCAACTGCACTTTGTAGACAGAACCTTGAGGGGAGCATGCAGGAAAGGGGCAGCAGTGGGCATTCAGAGAGAGGGAAAATAGCCCGAGCAAACACATCATGCCAAATGCAAGGCCATTCAGAGAACGCGCACACCATGTTTGGGGTGGAATGTCAAGTATGAGGAATGAAGAGGGCACACCCGCTTCAGATCATGAAAGTCTTTGGTCGCCATACTGAGTCCACCCAAGGTCACAAAGGGAGTAAGAAGGTGTAGGAGTCACAGAATGACCAAAAACAAACAAAAAAAATTGTATATATTCAAGGTGTAC